TGTTAACTGTACGGGAGGCGGTGGACGCGATCGCCCTGGCGGTGTGGTCGTTTTGGCTGGTTGTGTCGGATCAGCTCGTGTGTGGTGTGGAAGGGGGTGACGTCGTGGGAGAGGTGGCCGCGGGGAGTGATAATCCGGTTATGTCGTATACGTGTGTGCGTGCGTACGCAAACGGCCGGATGGCAGGCGGGAGGAGATCGTCTCCGGTTGGACGGCTCCTCCTACCAATGGGCGGCCGTCTCCCACCGACGCTGGCCGCCGCCGTCACCGCCGCCGTTAACAGTCGCTTAACCAATCGTTTAGTTAACCATCGACTGCACACCGGCGCGTACCGATCGCCTCTCGCGCGTTTGCGTTCGCTGTTTAACGTTGTGTTACACTCTCAAACACAATCACACACACACCGGAGTGTTTATGTATTATTATTTTTATAAATATTGTTATAATATCGTATAGACTCGATTCCGCAGTTGTGACATATTTTACTTTGATTTTTTTTCCATCGTCTCAAATTTTTTGAACCGCGACCGTTTTTGCGTTTTAATTTTCGCTCGCGTAGTACAAGTCTACTTGTATATTATACCCGAATAGCTGCCAAACGGCACGTCGAAGACGACTGTATAATCGTGTATATAAAATCCACGACAGACAAGCGAAATATATACCACTATCACGACGGCGACGCTTATCGGCGGTACAGTGCAGTCGTCGGGTCGCAGCAATACGTCTTTGCTGCGGCAGTGGCCGGCCGGGCTAGCAGCTGCAGTGGCCACCGGCGGTGACGGCATCGGTAATAGCAGGACGACAACGACGGCCACCGCGATGACCGTGCACGAACTGACGGCCGCTTCAGCGGCCGGCACCATGCCCATGCACCATCTCGGCAGATCCCGATTCATGATCACGGACATATTGTCCGACAACGGGCGCAACAACGGCGGCGGTTCGCCCGTGTCGCCCGCCTCGTCCACGGACGGGCCTCGTGATCTGTCTCTGCACGGCCGCGCGTCCTCCGGCAGCAACGGCGGAGGCGGTGGCCAGGGAGCGGGGCCCGCCGGCGTTGGCGGAGGGCCGGCCGACTCGGACCTGAGCGACGACCACGAGAGCGGCACTGATAGCGGACTGCCAGGCGACAACTCGTCCGTTTGCTCGAACGGTAAGTCATCCGTTTTGTTCTGTACAATATTATTATTATTATATCACATTTCGTTGTTATTATATTTCCGACTTGATTATAAATTGAAGTTTGCATATAATATATAATATTTTAGGTAGGTTTGCGTATATGTTCACGAACACCCATATTTTGAATATAATATATATATTGTGCTCTGCACCGTGTTATCGATCCTAATAAGACTTAAGACTCTAAAATAATATAATACAGGTAGCGAAAATACCTATTTATAAATTTCTAAAAAATACATTTAACTTTCACAGTCAATAATATATATTATAATGTATAACTCCAGTGTACCTACGCAGCATAGGTAGGTACCAACGCAATAACTAAAGTCTGTACACCACTCATCGGTAAAATTCGGTATAATATGTTTAAGCAAAGTGCATGCATGTTAGAGATTTAGAGGTTTTATAGAATTCATAAAAATAAGTGTTTAATTTTATTAAAAAAATATATTAAATAACGAACTACGATTATGTCGTTATATTTCCTGTATAAGTTAGGAATAGTATTTAAAATATATAAATAACAATAAACTATTAGCTTCCCTTATTAGATATATAGTAGTAGGTATATACCTGTATTATATGTGGATAAAATCTTTTATAGGTAGGTATAGTACTATATTTTGTAGGTAAAATACATGGGTATATATGGGTATAGTCATATTATACACCGCAGTCAATATTCTATTATAATATATAGGTTCATTTTTCAAAGCTATATGCATATATATATATAAATATATAGGTATAGGTTCTATAGGTATGTGTAGCTGTAATATTTGTAGGTATAGGCATAAAGGTAATAATGGTTCATAATATATTCATTTCATAATTTCTTCAAAGTGAGATTGCACAAATAAATATTATAGACGAATGTTATATATATTTTATTAAATTTAATTTTCATACATTTTACAAATTATGAAATTATTTTTCGGTGAGGTTGCATCTTTTGGTCTTATTGCGTTATTTATAGTACCTATACCTATATAGTACCTAATATTTGAGTAAATAAATAGTAAATATAATATAACTTAGTATATCAGATATATTCGACAGATTTTTTTTACAGATTAATTTAATTCAGGATACATGTATTATATTAAATACATATTGGATATTATATTATATCATCGCTCGAGAATTTCGTTTAGGTATGGTTAATTGTTCAGGTCCTTATAGATGCATAACATAGGTATATTCAAGTGATTTTCCGGAGTTCATAGTGGTATATTATATACTATTACATATACCTATTGTATATGACTATGACTGCAGCAGTTGGGTCAAGGAACCCTGCTTGAAAATAATAGTCGTCCTTATTCTATAAGATAATTTATAATACGTACATAGGTAGGTATTTATTATATATGCTTACGTCGTTTTCAATAGTTAACTTTGTATGTAGGTATAACAATAACATATTAAACTCACATATCTGCACAATTTTATATTTTCACTTATTTTCGTCAAACGACCGGTTTTGCAAACAAAAAACAATGATAAACGCTAAAATATCCGACGTATGTTTCTACATAATATGTATAAACATATAGGTAATAATAAAAGCGCCCAACACGCATATGTGTAGGTATAGGTACCTACTATTATATACCCATCTTTACCTATATATTTATTCGTATACCACTATTAACAGACATAATATTTTTAAGTTCCCATCTCACGAATCGCATGCTTACACGTATATAGCATTATACGTTATATAAGTGAATACGTCGCAGCATTTTTCTGGACGTCGAGGTCGAGCAGAAATAAAATAATACCTATAATATATATTTTGATGGTTGGAGGCATTAAGCTGCGTCTTTTCATCGGCTTGCTATTGAAATATATTTAGGCGGAATGGGACAAATATAGCAGTAACAATAATATAATGGATTTTACCGGTAAAGGTAAAGGCGCGAAATCAAAATAAATATAAACGAGGTATATATTATGGTGTATAATTCGATTTGCTGCGCCCGTGTTTGGGTTGTAAAATTCGTTTCGTTTTATATAGGTATATAAGTTCATCCTATTATTGTCGCGTATAAATATATATACAGAAGTCAGTATGAATATAATATAATCCTCTTGCAAATAAATCGATACACCTAAATTATTATTTTATTGAACACACACTCACCATATAATACATGCTTCACATTATGTATATTCACAGAATGATGTGTATGTATATGTATATACGTTATACTATATAATGAAACGCTAACTGCAATTTTGACGTTTGAATCGCCGGGTCAGATTAACATCAACCCCCTCGTGGACAATAGGCGTAATCCGTAAGTGCGTACTCGAGATTTCCGCCCTTGTATATTATTATTATATTATACTATTATTGTGTTATAGCCGTCCGCCGCACAAATTATAGTTATAACATATTATATAATATTTTAAAAACATCTAAAAAATCTATAAATACACGCATTTTTAGTTTTAAGTTTTTTCCTTATCCAGTGAAATCGCCGATTATTGATAACAATACGTGCAAAACGCAATATCAATAATTGTTGTCATCGCACTTCTATAGAATTCAGACAGACATAAATATATTTTCCCGCGTTACGGATCTCAAAAATGTACCCATATTCATATGAAGGAGGGATGGTAAGAAACTGAAATTAGCACTGGGGCGCTAAATTTCTGAATTCGTCTATGGAGCACCCGGGTATATATAATATATTATTATATATCTATATTATAATTATTACATTAAAGTGCTCATTGTTGCTTGAAGTCCGACGATAATATTACTTACAACGATATTGCTTATATGGTTCGATACATAATGTACAATTATACAGTGCAACTTTTTCCAGTACCCTATATCATTTACACCTATGTGCATCGGCCTTGTCAAGTTACACGGTATATATTATATAGGTATGTACTGTATAAACGATTTCATTATGGTTTCGAGCGCTAAAAACTGTTTTTTTGGTCCCGTCGAAATTGAATATTTTACGAGGTGTTTTTTACGACGCTTTTCACTATAATACAGCAGTCGAGTTTTTTTCTTATTAATTTCGTATGTGCAGGCCGGGCCTTGTTATTACTAAAATATTTTACCTCTGGTGAACATATTTCACCCCTGTAGTGGAAAATTCGATACGCCCGAAGGGGAAAACCGTTTTGTCGCGACAACGTAACACAGCGCGTTATGCAGGCAAGTTATGTTTATTCTTTAGTATTTTTTTTCTTTCCCCTTTTCGCTTATAATCAACTGTGCTGGTCGTTTTACACGCGAAGCCGCCTTTGTCACGACTTTGAATTTTGAACTAATTTAGGGAAATAAGGAAAAAAAAAAATATATTATGGATATAATTTGGGTTACGATATATAGTGCAGGTTTCCGAATGACCATATTGCCGTGAAAGTGTGCGGTGGTAGGTTTTAAACACAAATCGATTGATTCCAATTGCGAGGCCGCTCAAATTATTTTGAACGGTCATTTTTAAAACGAATAAACATAGGTAGGTAGAGGTATACTCTGCAAACACACACACACACACCTTTAATATCGCGATCACGGAGTCACGCGATTTTCAAAAGTTTCGAAAAAGAAAACACGATAGATAAATATAATAATAGCAACAAAATGTCCAAAATTACATTTGTTATTATTATTATGTTTTTTTTAGTACAACATCGTTTAAAGTTTGCGCGCACCTATAATGCCACAACACAGCAGCAACCTATTGAACTGAAATTTATATATATACTATAGGTATATACATTATACAAATGTATTGTTTACACTGTATGCCTATACATAACATAATATTAAATATATATATAATATATATATATATATATATTATATTATATAAAAGATTTTTCGTATACCTATATAATATAAAAGTAGGTATACATAGGTATGTTAATACATAGGATCGTGCTTATTGTACCTACCTATATCGCTACCTTGTAAGTACCTCATATTATATGGTGAAGTATAGAGTAGGTATATACTTAAAGTACATCTATATTATATACTTTGTAATGACGACTGAGATGAGAGAAAAGGGATTATAATATCGTCACTATAGTAGGTATACAAACACTTCACATAATGGTTAAAGTACCTATATCACTGATTATATATTATACTATATGGATGTATACATGTATGTATTATAGTAATTTATAGGGGGTTTCAAGTGCATATAATCATGTACGGAAGGTGTGTTTTGACCCACTTAAATTGTTATATTTTAGTACATTATAGGTATATAGGTTTAAAGGTGTTTTTTCAAAACAGTGTAATCCACACCTAATATATATATATAGGTATCTATGTGATAATAATACTACTCACAATAATACCTATATTGCAATAATACAATATATAGGTACAAACGATTTCTATACCTACCTATATATTTTACAGGCTACAGCTAAATCTCTTCAGTTTTTTTTACCTTTATAAAATATAATATATTCGTCAGATTTTCTATGTATTATAAATGTTATTGTACACTATAAATATATATATATACGTACATTTACATAGGTATACCTACCTAGTCCTGTATATACACAAATCATATTTTATTATGATATCTGATAGGCATACAGCGGGGACGATTTCACCGTTCCAATTCGAAAATGATTTTCGGGTATAACCATTGGTGTATTAAATTATTTAAATTTTAATGTACCTAAATACATATGTTTTTAGCTATACCAACCTACCTCATATTCTATACCTGTAGTAGCAGGACGAAAAGACCGCTGACGCCATCAATGTTGTCGACAAGCCCGTTAATTAAACGGAACGAAAAAACGAGCAATTTATATAATGTTTACTTTCCGTATACGCAAACACGCGACTGCTTTACCATAATTTTTTTCAGATCATCGCAAAAGTATAATAATATATCGGTATAACATATTATCGCTTCAATGGTTTTCGTATAGTCGTGTCGCATAAAAAAAACCCATCAT